ATCTTCCTCAGGAGAGTCCTTAGCTGACAAGGAAAAGCCCCTCTGTTCTACTCACTGTAACCACCAAGCACCTAGAATTCTTAGTTTCCGTACGTATGAAATTATTTGAATATCTGCCCATAAAGACTTCATGCAACTCAAGAGGAGAGGTGGTGCCGGTTTTATCCAGCAGCATCTTCTCAGTGTCTAGCATAGGAAGGAGCAGAACGCTGGAGTTTATAAGGTAAACCCAAGCTTTCATTTTGAGGGGCAAAGACATCACGTATTCTGTGCTAAGGTGCAGATTACTGAACACTTGCAAAATACTGTAAAATGTGGAGAGACTTACATGCTAAGAATCCATGCAGAAAATCATATTATAGTTCTTTAACAGAGTCTGTACTCTGGAGAGCTCCTCAGTATTACTGATAGGATTTCAATGAGAGGATTACCTATATTCTTTCTTCTCTTTCCTCTTCCTCCTGTTTTCTTTTTTAAAAATATGCTTATTGAGAGACAATTGCTAGTCATAAAATTCACCCACCTAAAGTGAATTCCATGGTTTTCAGACATTCACTGAGTTATGTGACCATCACTCATTAACAGCCAGTGTCCATTCCCTTTGGGCAATGACTAATCTATTATCTGTCAATATGTTGTTGTTATTAAGTGCCATCGAGTCCGTTCCAACCCATAGCAACCCTGTGTAGGGTTTCCAAGGAGCAGCTGGGTGAGCTTGAACCACCAACCTTGCGGTTCAAATCGACTTTGCAGTCCAGTGCATTAGCCCACAGTGCCACACCAGGAATCTCCTTCTGTCAGCATAGAATAGTCTATTCTGGACTTTCATATACAGAGAACCATGCAACGTGTGCTCTTTTCTTTTTCTTTCATTTAGCATGTGTTTAAGGCTCATTCTTATTATAACATGTAGCAGAACTTTAGTACTTTTTATGACAGGAAATCATTCTAACACACAGGGAGTCCACAGATTACAAATGCGTGACTTACACCTACAGTTTCCAATTACCCCCTGCAAAGCCTATTAAAGTAAACACAGGGGTACATACAATGGTTCATAACATCAAACAAGTGATACTTTTTGTTGCACATCGAAATATTATCATTACGTCAACAGTTAAACGTACCAGCCGTTCCTTAGAAACCCTATACAGGATCACATGAGTCAGAATCGACTCGATGGCAATTAACAATAAGAAAATTATACTAGAAACTAGTGGTATAGTGGGTTTTGCATTGGGTTGCTAGCCACAAGGTCGACAGACAGTTCAAGTCCACCTGATACTCCGTGAGAGAAAGATGAGGTTTTCTGCTCCCCTGAAGATTTATATCTTTGGAAATCCTGTACAGGGTTGCTATGAGTCAGAATCGGCTTTACAGCACACCATCACATGTTCCTTAAATGATTCTTATGCATAAACAGGCACACAGTACAACAGTAAGAGAAACATCTAACTGATATTACTATACCTAACTGCTCAGACTTACAAACAAATTAAAGACAGACTTAGGAATGGGACACCTTATAATGTGGGGGGGGGGGGGTCCCAATACAGAACACCTGGCTTATCTATGTATCAGTTAGAAGCACTGTGGTGGCGCAGTGACAAAGCACTTGGATGCTAACCATAAGGTTGAAGGTTCAAATCCACCAGTAGCTCCGCAGGAGAAAGATGTGGCACTTTGCTTTTGAAGTCCTTGGAAAGTCTGTTGTGGAGGAATTCTATTCTGCCTTATAGGGTTGCTATGATTCAGAATTGGCTCAGTGGCAATGGGTGGGTTTTTTATGCTTTAGTTGATAGATGTTTGGGCTATCTCCACTTTTCAGCTATAATGAAGAATGCTTCTAGGAGCATTTGTGTAAAGGTTTGTGGATGTATGTTCTCATTTCTCTTGGGTATATATTGTAGGAAAATGATGTGGCAGTTTGGTTTTAGACAATCACAGCCTTGGAAACCCTGAGGGCAGTTCTACTCTGTACTACAGGATCATTATGAAGCAGAATCGACTTGATGGCAAAGGGTATGTTTTTTGTTTCGTTTGGGGGCATATACCTTGAAAAGGAATTTTTAGGTCATCTGGTAAATCTTATGTCTAATATCTTGAGAAACTGCTTATTTTCCAAGGCGGTCACATCATTTTACGTCCCCACCAAGAATATGTCGTGGTGCTGCTGTGTGTCGAGTGGGTTCTGACTCAGAGTGAGCCGTGTAGGGTTTCTGAGGCTGTAAATCTTTACAGGAGCAGAAACCCTCATCTTTCGCACAGGCTGTTCCCTGTGGTAGATATGAACTACTGACCTTGCAATTAGCAGCCCAACGCATAATTCCTCTGCATCCTTGCCAAGAATTGTTATCGTGTGTCTTTTTGAATATAGCTATCCTAGTGTGTCTCGCTGTATGATATTTAGCACCTTTTCATAAGCTTATGGCCATTTGTTTACCTTCTTTGGAAGATAATGTTTATTCAAAGCCTTTTCCCATCAAAATTCTGAAAAATTTAAACCATAATACCAAATACCTGAAGAGAATGATTCACTGAGTTCTGGGACTTGGGACTTCAGTTTCTGGGGAAAATTGAGGTCAACTGGTATAACATAATTCACAAATGCAATGTTCTACATTCTACTTTGGTAAGTAGCAGCTGGGTCTTAAAAGTTTGCAAGTGGCCATCTAAACAAAATGCAGACAAACTGTTGAATGCAAAACTCTGTAAACGTTCACCCAAACCACAATGAAACAACAAAAACAACAACAAAAGTTGTTCAATTTTTCACTGGGTTATTTGCCTTTTTATTATTTGCTGTAAATTTGTTGCTTTTCCATTATTTTACTCTAAATATTTATAACAAGGAGTCCTAGTGTGCTGCTGCAGGATAAGCACTGGACTGCTAACCACAATTAACAATAACAAATTATACTAGAGGGCATCATTTCAAACCCACCAACTGCTCTGAGGAAACCCTATACAGGGTCTCTATGAGTTGGAACTGACTAGACAGCATTTAACAACAACAAAGTATAACAAAGCTTAGAAAAACAATCGATAATAATAAAACAAAACCCAGAAAGAATTTACATAAAAGCAGGTAATTATGAGATCAGACATGGTTAGAGACCAAAAGGTAGTGATGAGGGCAGAAGTTGGCCTACTTATGAGAAGAAAACTGTGTGTGTCTCACCCCTTCCTTCCCACTGAATTACTGAGCTTCTAAAGAAAGCTAACAGATGTGAGAACTTTTCCTTATATATTTCAAACCCTTTAAGCTGCCCTCACAGTTCTTCTCATCACAGAATCCTTCTAAAACGACTGCTTGTGTGAACTACCAAAAACACAGGCTTTAGAGGTAAAAAGGGCTGAGTTGCAGTTATAGCCTCCTACTAGCTAGGTGATACTACCTACCATTTGTGGGACCATAGGAACAGACTTGCCATATCATGAGTAATTAGTAAAGCAGAGCTAACGTGTACTCTCCTGAGCTAAATGAGATGACCAGTATGAAACTGCCTAGCTGAATACATGGCACATGATAACTGCTTCAGAATTTTTAGTTTCCTTCATTTCATGAAACACCTGTTTGGAGCTATCTAACAACTTAGTTGTGCTGCCTTTAAAGTGTACATTATATTTAGCACAGATATTTTCCAACATCATAAAAACCTAGGTATATACCCAAAAGATTTAAAATTAATTTTAATGACTCATGATCTTCTACATCAGCAAGATACCAGGGAGTCAAGGACTCTTTGGAGTGAGCGCCAGGCTCCCCCTGAGTTTTACTTTTATGATTGTCCCGTGAGAAGATGGAGGTCTCATTTATAAATCTAGGATAAAGAATTCCTCTTGTACCTTTTACATAGGGCTATTGCAAGGGTGAAATGAGATCACAAACTAAATTTCATTTCAGAAAAAATACAGACATTAAAAAATACTTTAGCTAATGGAATAAATACATGAGACTTCATTGTGCAAATTGCAAAGTTCTGAAGACTTTTTAAAAAAACACAAGTTTCTTTCAAAAGACTTAAAAAGAGTCCTGGCACGCTCTCACCTAGATTTCTGAAATAGATTCCAGACACTTCCCTGCCTCCAGTCTCTCACAATGGAAATTTATGCTTCACAAACCACCATCTGATCTGTTGTCTAAAAACTATTCTCCCTTTAAAAATATGTTACAGGAATCTAATACCTACTAAAGTTATAAGCTCCTTGACAATGTATCTGGGGGCTACTGAGATAGGACTCAAAGCCAAGGTAAGAGAATAGTGAAAATAACACTGGAGGATGTATAGTCCAAATGCCTTGAGAATGACAAGTGATCTTAGACAAGCAATTTAATTGCTCTTTGTTGTATAAATGCTCAGAGGTAGCACATGATGTACTCATGCATCCATCCAGCTATCAATAGACATTTATTAAGCAACTACTATATTTTAGGAAATGAGAATAAAAGGATGACTAAATTATAATGCATAGCATGCAGTCCCTTCTATTTTGTGACTATTGCCCAAACCGATTGTCCATTGTTGCCCTACTAAGACCCAACCTCTACTCATTACTCCATAATCCACATTGTTTGATCCACCTGGTAAACTTTCTCCTACTAATGCCAACCTTAGCAGTCAACTGCCTACTCATCTTTCAAAGTACACCTTAAGGGACACGTCTTCTAAGAAACCTCCCCTTGATGCCTGAATGAGACGGGATTCCTTCCTGTTTTGAACTCCTTTAACATTCAGTTTTCCTTTCTCTCACTCTCATACAATTTCACCTGGCACGCTTTCTAAGACACAAAGCCTATTACCCTCAGTGAAGCTAGGGAGTAAACTGGTTAAGAGCATGGCCTGTGTTCTCTCCAATGATGCACGGTAGATTGTAATCATTGCAATGAAACCATGAATGTAAGACCAGTGTTCTCCCATGTAAACTATCACATAATTCACAATAAAACACTTAAAAAAAAAAAAAAGACCACTGGTAAAAAGACACAGAGTTCTAACTAGTTTGGAGCTTTCATTTTCAGGCAAATGTTTAATACAAACCTGAAGACTGCCATCTTCCTTATTACTAACAGGACCGGTGCCACTCTGATCCTACAAAACATTAAAAAAGAAAATGGCAGAGATGTCATTCTTCAATCATACTGTAACCAAACTCTACACATAACTCATCAGAGCTGCTTGTTTTATTATTGTTTCCTTTCTAGAAGTCATTCCTATTTTCTACCTTTAAGGTAGAAGCTCAATTCTTTTTCAGGTATCTATTCTTCTAGCTCAGAGAGACCCTAGGGCTATGAGCCCTATTCTCAGTTCCAGTCCTGAGCACCTTAAAGATAATCTCTCTGTTTCTTTTCACCTCTTTTCAATGAGTTTGTCAGGAATGGGCACATGACCCAGATCTGGCCAATGAGACACAGAGGTTTTTGGGCAACAACTGGAAGAGTTCTTCTTGATTTTAAGAAAGTATGAAACAAAATGGTCACGATCAGTCATTCTAAATGATGAGGAAACCAGTCATAGGATGATGCTGACAATGTAGATGACAAAGCAAATATGAAGAGTTAAAAAGAACTGGGTTATTTTTGTTGTTGTTGTTAATGGCAAAACTGGGCCACTGAATTAACCATTCCAGTCTTATTTTAGCAGCAATTATGGACCAGTCTCAAGAGGCATCAAGGTCAGTTGGCACAATATAGTTCACAAACATGTTGGTGAGTAATAATTAGAGACTTGAAAATTGGGGTTATCTAAGGGTAGCGTAGTGGTTACGAATCGGGCTGCGAACCTTAAGGTCAGCGGTTCGAAACTACCAGTCACTCCGCGGGAGAAAGATGAGGCTTTCTACTCCCGTAAAGATTTACACCCTCGGAAACCCTGTACAGGGTCGCTATGGGTAGGAACCGACTCGACGGCACTTAACAACAACAACAAGGTACCATTATTGACCTTTCTCCATCAAGAGCAAAGAAGAAAAAAATTAAAGACACAGGAAATGGTTAATCTAAAGGGTGCCTGGTGACCACTGCTGACCACTCTGTAAGGCATCACAATAGGAGGTCCTGGGCAGAGTGAGATAAAAATATGGAACAAAACTCAGAATCATAAAAACCACCAGGCTTTCTGGTCTGATAAAAACTGATGGAAGCCTTGAAGTTACAGTTCTCAGTCACATTTTAAGCCTGGAACTCAATTTACTCCTGTGGCTTGAGTTTCATCCCAATACCAGACAGGCCTATAAATTGAACAGTAACACAAGACATAAGCACATCTTAGAACAATCAACCATTTGAGATTTAAAAAAAAAAAAAAAAAAAAGCAGCATTTGCCCAAGGATACAAGGCAGAGGGCAGGGAAGGACTGAAAATACGGTTGAATATAAACAGTAAAACAAAATGTGAACACACTTTTGAATGGAAAACCAATTTGCTGTGAAAACTTTCAGCAAAATCACAATAAAAAGTTTTTTTTAAAGCCTCATTAAAATCCTAAAACATCTTAAGAATTTTCTCGATTGAGTTATGAAATATAAAAGGTTCAAGCTTTTTAACCAAAGATTTATTTTGCTTTCTGGAAGTATATAAGGGATGAAAGGGGCCCTGGTAGTTAACAAGTTAAGCGCTGAGTTCAAACCCACCAGACCCACTGAGGGAGGAAATGAGGCGGTTTAATCCCTGGAAGATTTACAGTCTCTGACACCCTGTTTGTACATTTTGCTATGACTTGGGGTCTACTTGATGACAGTGAGCTTTTGGTTATAAGGGAGAATAAAAGTGGTAATAAGGTATCTACATCGTACTTTTCTGGATTTTTCCAAAACATCTTACTAGTATTACTACACACTTAGAAGAGATAATTTATAGATAAAATAGCTGTCATATTAGGGGGCATTCAACTTTACTCAACATTTAAGAAACATTATTAAAGGAAAGAGACAGGATTTTTTAACCAAGAAAAAGAAAAAAAAAAAAAAAAAGTTTTAACATAGCATTGAGAACTGTAAATTAAGATTATATTTGAAATTAAAGGAAAAACATCAAAGTTTGCAATGTGCTTATCTCTATACTAACGAATCCTAGAAATATATATATGAGAAGTATAATTGTGTAAGAGAGCAAGGGATACTTCTAACACTGTTTGCAATAGCAACAGATAAGGAACATAAATGCCCATCAATAAATTATACTAACTGTATCCAAAGTACAAAGCTGTTGTCAAAAAGAAACAACATGAATGACATCTACATGTTCAATGAGAGAATGTCAGATGTGAAACAGCATATACAATATGAATCGAGTTGCAGAATAAGAAAAAAGAAGAATATACAAAGATACAGATGCATGAGAACTTTCTCAACTACAAACAAAAAATGAAGGCAGAAAACAACACAGACTTCAGAATTGACCAGATCTAGGTTCAAATCTAAACTTAAGGTTAGTTATTTTTTAAAGCTCAGAGTATTTATTTATAAAGTATAGATCAAAACACCAGATTTGATATCCCATTAAGGTGTTATGAAGATTAATTAGCTAACATATAAAATGCCTTTTAGTGTCATAACAAATGAACCTATTTGAACTTGTTGTTGAGGAAGGATCTTTATCCAGGTACTATTCTCAAGTAGCATAATGGTTATGAATCGGGCTGTGAACCACGAGGTCAGCAGTTCGAAATTACCAGCCACTCCACGGGAGAAAGATGAGGCTTTCTGCTCCCATAAAGATTTACAGCCTCGGAAACCCTGCATAGGGTCGCGCTGAGTCAGAACTGACTCCACGGCACACAACAACAACAACCAGTAAGAGAGAGGAGCTCTGGTAGTATAGTAATTATGAGCCAGGTTGTTAGCCTCGAGGTCAGAAGTTTGAAACTGCGAGTTGTTCTGCAGGAGAAAGATGAGGCTTTCTACTCCTATACAGAGTCACGATGAGCTGAACCGACTCCATAGCACATAACCACCACCACTAATGACAAGTAAGAGAAGGATCCAGGACTCAAAGACAGTTAAGGCCATGCTCTTGGTAACTCTGCTCTTGTCCCTTTCTAGTTCTTCCTTTTAAGTGTTGAAAATTAGCTTTATGGAGGAACACTCAAAATCTTTCAAAAATCAGTGCTTAATACATGTGGAAACATTAATGTCCAAATTACATAGCAAGTCCGGTTCAGTTCAGCAAGCTTTGGGGAATCCTGGAGAAGCCACTGATACCCAATCGGAGTCTCAAAACAGTCAATGGTTGTAACTTTAGAACTTTATATTATAGAACAATCCCACAGGTGACTCCTCCAGTAACCTGGCAAATGGCTAGCTCCTGTGTCCCTCATGACAGAAGATCTATACCCACACAGTAGTCAGATGATCTTATTCATCTACCTATATATATGTTTCCAAGGACAACAGACAGTGTCACTGAAATAAAATTAGAAAAATCCCTGGTTTTTTATTTCTAAGCAATTTGAGTATAGTGGGTAAGATTTTCTTGATCTTTATCAAATGAATATAAAAACGAGTATAAAAAGAACTGTTTATTTGATGCTTTAATTCAGAAATTTTAATATGGGTAAGAGTCTAGTTTTAAATGCTCTAAGCATCCTGGTGTGGTACTGTGGGTTAATGCATTGGATTGCAAAGTCTGTTTGAACCACAAGCTCAGCAGTTCAAGCTCAGCATCTGCTCCTCAGAAACCCTATCATGTGGACTGCTGTATCTCATTTAGTATTGAAAAACGCATGACTTCTGATAGAAAAAAAGGCCCTTGCTCTTCTTAAGCAATTCTAAAAGATTTAGACTGATTTGTCAAGGAATGGAATAAATAACATGCAAACCAAGTACACTTGAGTCTTCATTACATCCGATGAAATCACTGCAGTGGCTTCCTAATTGGACTTTCCGCTTCAAGACTCTTTGGTATTCCTGTTAGACAAATCTATCAGAAGAAGAGCCCTGATCAAACGTCTTCATTGTTCAAAATGCTTTCAACTGCTCCAAGTGCCTAAAGCATGACAATCAAACCTCCTGAGATTTAAATTCAAGTCCCTCATTTGATCTCAATTTATGTTTCTGCACTTATCTTCTGTTGTTGTTGCTGTTGTTAAGTGCTGTCAAGCCAGTTCCAACTCATAGCTACCCTGTACAGAGTTTCTGAGGAACAGCTGGTGGGTTTGAACTGCCGACCTTGTGGTTCACAGCCCAGTGCTGATCCTACAGTGTCACACCCGGAGTCCACCATCTTCTATTACTCCCTTTGGTATACCCTATATTCTTCTCCCCATTTCACACCCTGAAATGTCTTACCTCTATACTTTGGCTTGTGCTATTCCTAAATCCTTATTTTAATAATCATATCCACTTTAAAAAAGTCAATGTATCCATCAGAAAACAGCTGTAATGATACTTCTTCCTTGGCTTCCTTATGAGGGAACCGGATTATTCTTGTCTGAACCCATCTGAAAACTTTATTGTATCATTCAGGGCAACTTTATTTTAGTAATATACATATAAGTCTCTTTTTTTCACTATAAAACTAAAAGTTCCTCAAGGGTAGAAAATATTTGTGATTAATCTTTGTATGCTTTCAAAAGTATACATATTGGCAAACAGCATCAAACTCACTTGAATCAATAAGAATTAATGATCATTGATGGAAGGTGGGGCTTAATGGCGGACCAGGGAGAAGAGCAGTGCAGACCTCCACGAGCAATAACACAGAATACCAGATGAAGCAGGTTCAGGGGATGGTCCCAGAACTCTGAACTACATGTAAAGGAATATTCAGAATGTTTGAAGGCTTGTAGCCAGTGGAATTTGTAGCAGAAGCAAGAAAGTGGTGTTTTCTGATCTGTGGCTGCCATCTCAGGGGTGATGGAGTGGGTGAAGGATCAGAGGAGCGCTCCCACCACAGACATCTGACCCATCCTCAGAGATAAAGGTGTGGACATTATTATTATTATTATTATTTTCCCTCTATTCATTGGGCTCTCACTGTGCACCTCCAACCAGGTGACTAGCGGGGATGCCTGAGCGAGTCGACACCCTCCCCCACCCCTGGAAGTTTTTACTACATATGTGCATGGACCTCTTCAGCAAAGACCACTACGTG